ATTTTAGGATGATTCTACCGGGGGACATTTTTGTATAATCTAATTAGCCATGAACTCAATGACGAAACGCATTAATTCATTAATAATCTGTTAAACAGCTTCAACATATTTTATAAGTATCCCGAGTGAGCGGCGTAGGTAGCAACTCCATGATTTTTCTAATTTCTGCAGCAGTTGTAGAAAAATGGGGTAAAACTAGAATATAGAAGTATTATGTAATCTTTAAATAAGGAGGGTACAAGCCTAAAACGTATCAACGAACGAATAATTGCCGTATACGATGAGAATCCTCAATCATATATTTGTTAAGTTCTGGTCGAAACAATTTCATTGGGGCTGAGAATCGATAGAAGATGATCCAAATTTGATAGGACTCTTAGAGACAAGGATGCAGGAATTGAAAACTAACAGTTTGAAAAATTGAAAGTGTGAAATTTAAGATTTAGGAATGCACGAGATGAATTCCCAGTCTGCTCACACTACAGTGACTGTGTAAAGGTCCAGTAAAACTGAGGCGGGAATGCGGGCACGGGAACGGTACGGATGCGGGACTATTTCTAGTACTTCAAGTACGAAGATGGGTAGCAAACTGTTTACATTTTTGGATACCATTAAAAAGCGTATTTTAAAAAGAGATATATTCAGTGTTCCAGACAAAATTTCCACCTTGTATATAGAGTCACTCTACTCACACCAGAACCGAAATTTACCAGGAAAACTTAGATGTTTTAAAACAAGATATCTATATTTTTCCAAAAATGCATCACTGGCGATGAAACTTGGGTATTACTGGGATCCACGAAACAAGAATCGATGCAGTGGGGACAGGGGAGAGACAACGTTTTCGAAATTCGGCTGCTGCTGAATACCTAAATTTTTTTTGGAAAGTATCTGTTTATTACAAAAACGGCGGCATAAGTGTGTATTAGTGTACTAGTAACATTCTGAAAAGATTCCGAGAATAAAATTTTACGGAGACTCACTCTAAGAACATCAAGCAAATTTTGAGAGGATTCTAAGAAAATTAAAATAACGTTTTAAGGGATGTGTGGGTTCTGTAAATCCAAGAGGATTCTATAAAATATTATAAGACGCTACTCCTCTTAAGATTCTAAATCATGGCCGTTGATTTATGGTAATACATTCTGGAGTGCAAATATCTTTGTGCCTATCTATTTTATTCCTGTTGAAAAGTAGCACGGATCATGAAGAACCCAATTCCACTCGAAGTAAGGAGAGCTTTGTGTTCCGTCAATTGTGGCGAATTTTTCGCTCTTGTTTTTTTGCCGCTCTAGGTTTACTCAGCCTATGGCAACGTTAAAACGAATCTGCGAATAACTCGCCAGCGAAAAATAATAACATAAATTTGCATTAAAGTGGAATCTTCTCAATTGCATTTTAATAGTGCGCCGCAGGTAACACACAAATTAGGAATGGGATTTGGAACGAAACACGCAAAAAGCTTTTTCGATGGTTGTCCTAGTTGCAGGACCACCATATCTAGGTGAATGGTGTCCACATACCAGTTCGACCGAATTAAGCGCTGCCGACGCTTTGAAGACACTTTGCAGAACCGAATTCTTCTCGGAAGACCGTAATTAATATTCTGATTCACCGGATTATTTATCTAGATTTCCAGGTATTTCGAATATTGTGTTTAACGTGCGTCTGGTTTAACAAGTCGTTACCATACGAATCGTCGAACAAAATAATGGTCATTAGGTAGCTAAATTGAAATACCTATAAATTACCACTTTGTTTGACAAATATGGGGAATCGTTCTTCCACTCCCAGCATACTTAGTTTGATCTATTATCGGACACTAGTTTCACTGAAAACCTACTGCTAAGGACGCAACAAATAATCAACAAAATTGGTTCAAATTGGTTCTCTTGGGATCTGAAACCAGGCGAAAATGGCATTGATTAATCACTGGTGAAAAAGTAAAAAGGCAGACTCGCAACTTCCGAATTATGACAGTTGGTCCGTTGAGTTGATCAGGCTGAAAGTCTGCTCAGTTTGAAATTTTATGAATATAAAAACATTCAGACATTGCCGTATTTGCATGTCACGCAAAAGCTGGCATGGAAAGGAACTACTGGTAATTTTTGTGGTGGTGGTGTGGATTTTTCTTTTCTTTTGTTTTGAAAATACAGTTCCACCAAGACATACGTTACTGTTAGGGAATCCAATCCCGCAGCAAAATCTCAATCCCAGTATTTGCGGGATCGTTAGATGTTAATCCCGCGGGATCCCGGTATTTGCGGGATCCCGCAAAATTTTAAATAAATTGGCAAATAAGCAATTTTGTGCGGTTAACTTCTGTATTAAAATAAATCGCTAATTATCACAATATTCAACAAAAAAGTACCCACCTTCAGCCTAACTTAGAACTCAAAAAATCACCTGTAAAGCACAAAAGGTGAACTTCTAAAGTGACTCAAAAATCATAGTACATTTTTAACGAAAAAAGTTTAACAATTATTTAAAAAATAATTTCTCCGTTATGCGTTTCATTAACAAAGCAAACAGAGTCGTCCCCTTGGTCGACAAATTCCTCAGTCCTGCAAATCCCGCGGGATCTCGCTCCATTTATGTGCCGGATTAATCCCGCAAAAATGCTGCGGGATCCCAGTATTTCGGGATCCCGCGATTCCGGTATTGCATTCCCTAGTTACTGTTATGTTATGCGCAATCCAATGCTATTTGTATTTTTGTTCTCATTACATAAGAACACAACCACATTTTGTACCTATCTAGACCTGTGACACAATCTGTGTATAAGCATTTAGGACCTGCATTTTTCATTCAGAAATTCTACTATTGATAAAAAAATTAACACTGTTGGTTGACATTCAAGTACCTTTTCAATGAAAAATTTTCCCACTTATAAATCAAGTTAAAACAAATTATATTAATTTATTTTAAATATTTCATTTAATCGTGTGCACCATAACCTTCAGCAGGTTTGATTTGTGCGAGAACTTCCTAAAAGGTGTTTTACATATTTCCACCAAAAGAACCTTTCTAGCGCGGGCTTCGGGTTGCAGTTCAAGTGCTACCTATTTATAGAAAAATGACGACATAGTAACCAACACTCGCCCGGTGGTACCTATTTTTTCTTCATAGCACATGCTGTCTAGACACAATTAGGTACATAAAATTCTAGTTTATATATTGGCTTGATTGGTAAATAAGTGTTATATTCATGTATATAGACAGCTTTTCTATTTTGCATAGTTACCTAAGAGGTCAAAACATCGCTATAAATCAAAAGTAATATAAATTCCGAAAATATTATTTTAATTGATTCCAATCAAACCCAGAGAATTGCTGTAAACTGTGTCTTCCTCTTCTGTAGGTGACAATGCAACGCGCTAGTTTCGTGGTAGTCTTGTTGTGATTTGTGAACAGTAGCTAAACAGAAGCAACCATTGCTTCGTCTCGACCAAAAACAAATAAAGAGTTCACATAAGAAAAATGTATGGGGCCTATTACCTAAACACCCTTTTAATTTTTGTTTTTTTTTCCTGTGAGATTTTGATTACAAAATAAAAATTTGCTGAGCTAATATTCTTTTTTGAAGTTATTAGTGACCTCATTTCCAAGCTAGAAGGTAGAAAAGTTGAAAACCGCAATATTTCCTTAGATCCAGCGATAAATTAAACCAAAATCGAGGGAGAGTTCCATATTCGAAACTGATACGTTGTATTTCGTAATGTCACATTACACATATTGTGAAAATTAGGTGTGCGCATGCGCAGACTGTGCATTGCCATTGTCCTGTTTAGTAAGATATTTCCAGGGATATTTCTTTGACGTTTTAAGCATTTGCTAATACTTAAGAAAAACATACTGTACATAGCTATGACATTTTGGGAAGTACAAATCAATGTATGGGAAATGCGTTAAAGTTATTCGCATTAGTGCGAAAACCTTTGATTACAGCTTCAAAACAATGATTCTTGGGTTCTCAGCTCTCTTAAATAAAAATCGATAGAATGCACTCTTTAGGGCCGTAACGTAACGTTTCAGTTATATCACTATTGTAATGCAGCTTTAAAAACTGAGAACTACATGAATTCCTGAACACTCTGTAATTGGGCACAAGCCTGTTGAGAGCCCAGAACAAGAGAGGAATAATAAATAAATAAATAAATAAATAAAACACAATGTAAATTATTTGAACAGTGTTTTTCATATCTCAGTAAAGTCTAGTGTCTATTAAAAAAGGGACCTGCTTTGCTTGATTTGCAAAAAGTAATTTCGTTCCTGGTACACTCAACCCCTCTCGAAAAATGTTAAATAATCAAAAAATCGTTTTCTTATACCAAAATTATCCCAAGTTTAGCGTAGATTTTAGATGATGAATAAACTGGGGCACCCGATTACTATACGAAAGTGAGCCAACTTGCGCTAAATTCCATGATGCATTGTAGATGATGTACCTACTTACAGGGTGGTTCAAATTCGTGGCTCACCATTGGGATCTCCGTAACGGTGACCGTAAGAGATATAATGCAGGTTAAATGGGGACAAAGTTCACCCTTTTCGAGACTAAAAAAACGCTTCTGAAATTTATGAAAAATCTTTGAGAAATCACCGAAAAATTGAAACTGTCAAATTTCGTTTTCATTTTCCCTAGCTTAAACAGTCGGCGATGAACGGTTCCCCTGTTTTGCCTCGATAATTCTTTCTCTAGGTGTATTTACCTCGAAGAACCACATAGTACGAGAGTTTAAGCGTTTTGAGGGTTTTTTTGTTGAATTTTATATTTGTTACTTTCTGAAAAAATGTAAACTCCCCTTTTTACTTATATATTTTTATGAAAATACAGTGGTTCCATTTCCTCAAATTTCCCCGTTTTATTTTGCTGAATTGGGCAGAGTAGCATGTTACGCCACTGCTGAAAAACGTACAAACAGGTAAGAATGTTAGCGACCTCTGTTGGGACGCAATCGCTTACTCGCACGTCTCTGACTCGCACCTACCGATAAATATGTAAATCTCATGTACCAACAAACAGCACAAGAAAATGTGTGGTTAGAATTCGATTTATGAATGTTTTTCGGTTATTTATGTTATTTTGAATTATTTTAATTACGATGGATTCGGATTTAGATCGGTCTTTACGCTTGTTAGAGGATTCCATAAGTTCAAAGGGCAGATTCTTGCTTTCCACACCCAAAAACAAGGATTTAAGAAGGAAAACCATGGAGAGCCCCATGACTCCACAAACTCTCCGAAAACTGGATGACAAACTAGGCGATTCCAGTTTTACAATTTACGATAAATCGTTTAGCACTTTAATTGATGATAACGTTTCCATAACAGGCTCGATCGTTCGTGCCAGCGAACCCTGGAAGGCTACTGTTAACAGTTTGTATTTGGAGTTCTACGAGACATTGCAAATGTGTACGAATAGCCACGATGTGTTCGATGTCATCACAGACCTTGCTCGCTGTTGTACGGATGCTCTGCAAGTCATTAAAAGCTTAAAGTCGAAAAGTTCAATCCAGTATGTTAACGAGGACATTTGGTTGGAAAAGGAACGAAACACGTGGCGCCTGTTACTAGTCTTGTATCAAGATCGACTGCTTGCCTCGAAAGACATGGAGGACGTGCAGCAACCATATTTCGGCGACAGCGAGAAGTTGTGCATAGCAAATCTCTTTAAAGCCGATCCTCTTGTACGCGAAACTCAACTTGTGATCGACTGGTTGGAGTACAGCGCGGCAGAACGCGACATTGAAGCATTGCACTTTTCCGACTTTTCTTACGGGTGGGAAAACACTTTTCACCAGCTGCAGTCTGCCGAAACAATCGTTTTTGAGAGCTCCAAGAAGATTGTTACGGAAATGCACCCGGATGCGCCATGGGTGGAAGAGTTACATCTTCACGACTTAGATACCGAAGATGAAAAGAGACTTTGTAAGAAGATTTTTCAGGAAATTCGCTGCGGTAAGCTTAATAAAGCGCAAAAGGTAGGTATTTCTATTGTCGGTGGTTTGTTATTTTGGTGTACTTTAGGTGTGTATTAGTTCCGGTCACGCTTGGCGTGCAGCACTTCTGGAAGGTTGGCGACTGTATCACAACCCGAATACTGTTCCTCAGGTCGAAGATGTGGAGATGTATGATGCTGATAGGGATGAGATGGGGTTAGACAGTGCCTTACAACCTACTGAAGGAAACGAAACGAGGGATATTTGGAAAGTTATTTCACAAGCATATTGTGAGAAGGTACTTATTCTTTGCTTGTAATAGAGGAGGCTGTGGCTGAAATTGTGCCACTGTTTTTACAAAGCTTAATGTTTAGATTGCGTTGATTGCACAATGCACATAGCAGTCTACCGATTGGTTCCTTTTGCATTACCTAATTAATGATTTTTAAAATGTGCAAATAAATGGAAGGGTAGAAATTTAAGACTATGTTAATGTAAATACATTGATGAGTTAAAATTGACAATTACTACACATTTCTCAAACAAGAGGGATGATCCTTTGGATTACATGTATATGTTACTGTATTTCTGCATTACTCATTACTGTCGTACTTTACATGTGCACAATACTTTCAGTATAAGTAAATGATATGACCCTAGAGTCTTCCATTGGGGTCTATTGAACAAAAAAGCTCAATTTGCAAGTTTCAATCCTCAAGTTCTATTTTTTACAGGATAGTAATATAGGATAAAGCTACTATTTTGTTTTATAACTGTATTTCAAAATTAACACACATTTGGAGCTTCTGTACTGGACTGTACTGTACTGTGTTCATTGATTTATTATTATAAACGCATTTGTTGTTAATATTCGGATTAACTAAAGTATAGTTGGAGCAAGGTCCATGAAAGTAAAGAACAAACCAATAATGTGTAGGTAAAACAGGCCCATGCCCACTTGACTCATCACCAGCTTGAAAAGTTTGTAGTATACTCTTTGCTTGTAGTAATTACACTAATAGAAATAAGTTTTTACGAGTATAAGAAATTGGAAGTAATGTAAAGTTGCAAAATTCGAATAGTCTATGGCGGTACTGAACATACAAATTACAATTGTGCTTAACTCGGTCCTACTACTTGTAACAGTTTATTTTTACAATTACATCAACAGTCACATTTCTTTTATGGTCACTGTAATGTATTGTTTGAGATTTTCTCGCACATCTCAATCGTCCCTGGCGCCATTTTTGGGTGGGTTGTTTCGCACGCAAGCCTAAGACACATTAATTTTTATTTTCTTTTCCAGCTTTTTTTTCGTTTTCGACATGCACGTTTAGCAGAGGCCCCTCAGGCATTACTCGAATTAATTAAATACCGAGGCATGGAACTTGGGTTTTTGGATTTCTTGTTTCTGTTTTAGGCGTTTATGGCATCGAAGAGAGCTCTCTTCCATAACAGGCTTTAAGGTAACATTGTAACAGTTTAATATTGCCACTTGTTCTTCCAATACCAACTTTAGGTTCAGCTACAAGGAAGCGACAAGGACTTTATGCCCGAACATATCAACCGCTGTGAACTTTTTCATGCTTTTTATTTTACCATCCTTGAGATATAGCTGGCCGTTGATACGGCGGGGTTTTTAGAAAATCAGACATTTTCGTTTTTTTGCGATAGTTTCAAACTGAGCCTGGTTTCACATTACAGCAGCATACTCTGGAAACTATTTGAATACACAGTTCCCAATCATTGGATTAATTGAGGAGGTCCAGGGTGATTTATTCACAGCTGCATTTTTTTAAATAGAACCCCCCTGTATGTTATTGCATATCTCCATCTCTTGGTCAAACTTAGTGTAACTTCATTGCACATGATATTTAAAATTACTCGTTTAAAGTAGATGTCCAGTAAAAATTGAAAATCACAGTTTTGTCATAAAACTTAGAGAGCTGTGACTCTGCATCATGAAATGTACTAAAATAGGCGGCTAAACGACTCACTTTAAGCTAGTTTTACATCAACAATTCATCAATTACTTCGTGAAGTTATTTGTCAATTTATTGAACAATTTCTTGCTCAAGTTCCTTGGTTCTGCTGTTAACTTGATCAATTTCTTGTTGTTTTAAAGTCATTGTTTCACCAACCTTTAATTATTTTAAGGTTAGGTTGTCATTTTTTTTAATTGTGTAGAAAAAAGTGAAAAGTGTAAAAATGTTTCCCTCTGTCTTAAATAGAAGATTACGGAATAGAAAAAGAAAGATTGCTATATTAGCTATAATAATAATAATACAAATTATGAAAACATCTTTATTCAATTATTTATGTTGGTTGATGGTAGTTGTTACTACTGAATTGACGTAAAAATTGCCAGAAAAATAGAACTTGCGCGAATCCGACAAGAAATTAAGCTCAAGAAATTGATCAATTTATTGTTGAATCAGCTTTAGAACACGTGTAATACATAAAGTCGCACTAAAATTGACCAAGGAATCGTAAAATGCAATAAATACATGGGTTTTTTATTTAAAAAATGAAACTTTGATATAAATCAACCTGCATAACAATTGCCATTTCGTTGAAAATATTTTTAGGTTGTAGCGTGAAGAGGCCCTCAAAATGTTATACATACAATAATGAATTTTAAATATGTGCGGTAAAATGAACCCACAATATTTCTAACCCTGTATATGTGGGTGTTCCATTAATAAAAATATCCTGTACTTATGCCTAAAAATAACACATGATATCGAATAATTTTAGTGATCAACAAGCAAAGATATCCATAAAGTAGATGACTTTTTTAGCCACCTTAATAGGGATTTCTTCATCCTAACAACCTGATTTTCTTCAAACCATACAATAAACTCAGATGAATTTTATACACTTTCATGTAAAATTGGGTTGGCCACGTGCAATTTGAACACGAAAAAATTGTCAAAAATCATTATTAATCAATTTCGTTGGGAAAAAGCCCGACTTGACTTCATTTTTTCCAAAATGGCGGCCATTTAGCTATTTAGTTTTGAAATATTTAAATTGCCACCATTTTGGAAAAAATGTGCACTCAAGAAAGGTCTTATGTATTAAAACAAGCACAGTGAAAAAAACTGTTCAAACACAATAATATTTATGATATTAACGCCATTAGATCGGAAATGACTTAGTGAACAATCTACTCTTTATATATCCTAATACAGGATGTGACACTGCCTTGACAATATTCCATATTGGAAAGCAATCAGTTTCCAAACATGTTTATGAAGAGCAATAGGTACTTGCATAAACTTGCACTATCATAACATAACAAAAGTTGCATCGATTTCCGGTTAAACCGGAAGTGATGCCGGAAGATCGTAAAATTATATTTGATACATTTTTTAGATTTCCCTAAATAAAAGAGATATTGATGTGACCCTCTTATCTCGAAGACCCTGTATATGTATACAAATTTAAATGTGCGTTTAAAAAAACAATGATCGACTTATTTTCAAAATGGCGGCAACTTTTAAATTTAAAACTAAATAGCTAAATATTTAAATGGCTGTCATTTTGAAAATACTCGTATGAAGTCAGTGGTTATTTTTTACACTTTTATCGTTTTAATTTAAACTTTGCCAAATTTCATTGAAATAACAAAGTGAACAATTTTTTAACGATTAATACACTCCATTAATATACGACCAATCAGCTTGGTGATTGTTTCAAATTCTAACCAATCAGACGATTTTTTATCTGATTAAAAGCTAGGTAGCTTTTTATCAGTGATTAGCTTTTAAAATGCGCGTCGGAATGCGTAAAATATATACCTAGTGGTTGTAAAATTTTGTGTCTTTTATTAATTTCAGACCATTATTATACTTAATCTACTGCTCCGTGTGCAATATACATGACATTAAGCAAAGCAGATATTAGGGGCAAGCTAGACTCTCATACTATTAGCTGCTAATTTACTTTCCTTTGCAGGAATACCTAAACATTTACGAGAAAGCATCCTTGGCTTCCTTCTGTGGACACTTAAAGAGTCTTTTAAGGGTGGGAGAAAACTGGGAGGATTACCTGTGGGCGTACTTGAAAGTATTAATCGATATTCGCGTTGAATCAGAAATTCGTGATAACATAAGCAAAAAGTATGTACCTTTACCAGAAGAGTACTGGGACCAAAGGTATACCGAGTGATTGTATTTCCAAGTCAATTTACTATAATTTCTTCCAGGTTGTCCCTAAACGAAGTGTTCGAATACTTGGAATCCGCTCCAAATACCAAAGTGCGCAAAGAGTCCCAATTAGAAATGCATATCGTTCAAAAGCACTTAATACTTGACGATATTCCGAGGTTAATGGAGATTATTGGTAACTGGATCGAAAACAGGACATTGAGTACACAATTTTTACGGTTTGCAGTGCATTTGGTGCTGTTTTTGGAACAAATTGGGCAGATTGTTAAGAGAGATGTTCCAGCAAAGATTATTGAAAGGTAGGAGTCCCATAGTAACTAGTTATGTATGGTGTAAATAAATTAGCACAATAATAGACTAAAAATCACCCAAAAAGTAGAACAATTGATTTTTAGTCCTTAAGGCACGCTTCCCAAAATAAGGCAAGTAGTTGTTGTTTTAAAGGTTCCTTAAATATATCTTTTTTTTCAAATTGATTTAAAATCGTCGTTCGCCGATCAAGCGGACGTGAATTAAAAGTGCTTTCATTTTTTTAATGAAACTTATTTTTTAGTTATGTGCTCCGCCTTGCGGAAATGGACGAAACTCGGCTGGTCTCGTTTTACGTTAGCAAATTAGGAGTTCAAAAGCAGGTTGAAGTCTACGCTTCTTACTTAGAACGCATCTTAGATGACAACGAAAGACGCGAAGCTCTTGCGTTCGCCGAAGATTGTGGTTTGGATACACATGCGATTGCTAAACGAGTTGTTGAAAATATCCGAAACCGCCCACACGAAATCGGCGCACTTGGCAATTTACAGGTAATTTATCAACTATACTCGCCATGAAAAAACCTCATGGCCTCATTAGTCTGTTACATAATTATCATTGTAACTATCTTCACTGGAATAGTGAACCAAACGATGTTTTTCAGCAAAAATTAACCGACACTGATTTATTGAAAATATCCGCCATCGATTGGTTGCTCATTTCCAACTCGACAAAATTGGATGCGATCGAGCAGACGAACGCTTTGATCTTTACCTTCTTAACAATGAAAAAACTGGATGCAGCACAATTGGCTTTCAATAAAATACCTCAGAATTTTCTCGACGACATTCTCTCAGAAGGGGACGCAGTACCAGAGATTAATCAAATATTGAGAGAGTATTTGAGTTATCGAACATACTTGGATGCGGAGGAAGCGTTTAACGAATGGTATAAACAGTTCAAATCGAAACCCCTTCCTCCTGGAGAGGTGGCGGAGAATGCGCATTTTACTGAGCGAGTTGCGCACGAGCACAAAGAGGCGCAATTTAAAGCTGACACGGAGCGATGGAATATGTCAACGTTGCAGCTAGCGAAAACAGCAAAGGGCAAGCTGTATAACGTGTTGCTGTTCCCCGAAGGGGGATGGTTGAGTGGCGCAAAGGACTGCGAGTTTCTGAGATCTACTTGCATACCTGAAATAGTAATGTTACTCTACTCAGTGTTGAATGATTCAGATTGTGGGGAGGAGTGTCTGCAGTTGGCCGATATTATAAGCTCAGAAAAATATGGCCTGTACAAGGTAATAAATTGCGCTGGTAATATTGTAACCTAATCTCTTTTGTGTTGCCAGGTGTTTCCGAAGACTAAGCTCAAGGAGTTCTTACACCAGCTCTGTAATACTTCAGCGTCGCTGCTCAACAAAGAGAAGGATCCATGGGGGAATGTTACTATTAATTAAAGTGGAATTTTTTGTACAATTGATGGTAGTGTAATTAAATATTAAAAGTAAAATTTGTCATTCCAGTTCATTGATTGTTAATTTTTTCGATTTGCAATTTGTTTTCCACGTGAGCTTACCCTGAAGGTGCTTTAAGTTTCCTGTACCTAACTACTGCTATTGGCCCCTATTACTTTGTTCCATTTTGCTATAGTTGACCTGTTTTTTTTGTGATGCTGCTCCTCTCATTTTAATAACCTTTTGATAATTGTATTAACATTATTCCTTTGAAATAATTTATGCACTATATTTACATTCTTCAATATAGATCTGCTAAGCAATGTTTTCCTTCTCCTATCAGTAAAGAAAGTTTTATTGCTACAGGTTTCTTTCTCTCCTCGCATTCTTTTGTTTTGTCTCGCTTGCACCTATGATGTCTGAGTGTTTTGTTTTTATGAGTTTGTTTAACTGCAAACGATTCGATTTACTTGAATTGATTTATACTGTTTTTCACTTTTATATGATGCCTTTTGGGTCTCGTTTGATTTACTGCATTTCACTGTACGGTCTGATTTTTATTGTACAATTTAAGCTGCTTGATTTGTGTAGGTACTACTGTGCCCAAAAAGTACCCGGAATTGCGTTATAAAAATGAAAAACCTCTATGTATTCTTCTAAATATATTTCATTGCCTTTAAAGTACTCCCCCTTCGATGCAATGCACATACCCCAGCGTTTTTTCGAATTCTCGAAGAATCCCAAATAGTCTTTTTCGAAGTGACCTTCAATACCTTCGATTTGGCTTTTATGTCCTCAATTTTAAGGACGTCCCCGAAGTGGTCTTTTGAGCTTAGCAAATAGCCAGAAGTCGTACGGAGATAAATCAGGTGATTACGGTGGTTGTAGAACGATATTTGTCGCATTTTTGGGAAAAACTCGCTACTCTTTTTCCAAAAAAAAATTCACAGATTTCGCAATCCTTGCAACCATCGGAGACATTAGAAATGATAACCGTATGACCTATAAAGCCGTAAATAACCCTTATTCACACGGAATAATCTTGCTCCAGTAGTTTAATTAGAAAGATTCGGGGTCCTTTTTGGACACAGTATTATATGAATTGTGTGGTTGATTTATTTTGTTTGTATTTGTGTGGGTTGTGCCAGGTTTTCTTGTACATAAAAGGTTTTCTTGGTATGGCCATGGAGTCATGTCCCAACACATAAAAGAACCGATATTATAGTATACACAACATAGGACATATATTTGCTATCAAGTCCGAGTCGACTGCTACCGAGATTCAAAAGTGCCGCGAAACGTCCATCGTTAGTATAGGCTTTGAATATAATATTAGTTTGGGAAATTTGGAACATATAGTTTGCGTTTCGGCGGCTGGGCTGCCTCACCTAGATTGTTCCAAAAATTTAGGACATAGGTACCTAGCTTATATTTCAAAAACTAAGGACATAGTTTCGACATCCGACTGGTCGGGATGCCTCGCTTATTAAAAAAAAATTAGAAATTCGGAACATAGTTTCGCCATCCGCGGCTGCGCCGTCGCGTTTGTTTCAAGAACATAGCTTCGACCTCATTTATTTAAAAGAATTTCGAAAATAACTTCGTTTACTGCGGTGCTTCGCCAGGCTTTTTTCAAAAACTTAGGAACAGTTTTTTGCGAGTTACTTAGTTTTTGAGAAGTTTTGAATTGAAAAGGTTAAACTATTTACCTACTTTATTTTTCTAAATTTGCATTTTTCTCGAAAAGTAAGCATCAGAGTGCCAATGTTAATTACAAAAAAGTCGTGTCTTTATGAGATATAAAAAATTCTTACACACTTTTTGCGTCGGGTTCATAATAAAGGTGCTAGGGGGCATTTTCTAAATGTTGCATTATGACCAATGGCTATATTAAAAGTAGTCTGAAAGTCAAGTCGAGAGTTTACCTAACATTAAGTTTTACACCACGCACAATTTTAAAATGGTCAGTTTTGTAAGATCTCCAAGAACAAGCAATACGGTGCACGCAAGTAAGTTACCCGTCTGCACATTTATACAAAACGGGTAAAGCGCAGAGAATAGCTATAAATACCTTACAAATGTGCACTATTTAAATGCTTTTCAAAATATTTCAAGAGTTTATCTCCAGGTGTACAAAAATTGATGGATTTTCTAAAATTAGGTTTCAAATTTTTCTCCTTGGATATATAGAACAGGATTTCCCAAGAACGTTTAAAAAGAGTGAAGAAAGAAATCTAAAAATTTCGGGAAAAAGAAAAACCGAAACGGACCGCGAACGTAAAAATCGAAGGGCGTATAGCGGACCCCCGTTACACAATGATGTGTGAAAATACGTTTCTTTCACGTGATGAATGTATTCTGAAGAATCGTAAAGTGGATGTAGCAAGTGCTGTGGTACAAAAATGTGAGAGCGTATCTATTCTTGTGTCTACGTCTGAGGTTTCTAGGGTGAGAATCAGTTCTACGACAAAATCTAGCAGTACTGCGCGGTGCAGTTTGTTTTACCCGTGTGTAAAATTACCTAAGTGAAGGATTCTCCTATCCATTTCCTATTCCCGTTAACAAAACACGGTCATATTTTAGGATTCCGTATACAGGGTGACACTTTTAAAACTTTCAATGGGCGATATCGTTTTTTATATTAGAGGTATCACAAAATGGTCAAAACTGTTTCGGTAGAATCGAGGGGGAAGCAAAATGGTCGTATAAAGAAGGAACCAACTTCAACCTCGTACCCCCCGCCATCCCCATGCCTAAATTTTGAATTGTGACGTATCACTTGTGATACATCATTGGAAAGCTCTTAAAAATTGCTTTTCAGAAATACCATACACTGGTACATTTAAACTGCCCATTCACAATTTATTACACTAAAATTTGAACTCCGCAAATAAACAACTTTTATTTAATAAAATGTTCAAAATGTTCACCGTTTTGTTCTAAACAATACCACAAACGGTTTTCAAATTCATTTCTAACATTTTTAAACACTTCGCTGGAAAGTGAACGGCACTCCCCGACTATCCGGTAGCGCAGATCATTTATGGAAGCTGGTTCAGTTTTGTACACAACCGATTTTAAATGACCCCAAAGAAAGAAATCCAATGGTGTCAGATCTGGAGATCGTGCTGGCCATTCTATAGGACCTCTTCGTCCTATCCACTGTCCCGGAAATTTCTCATCTAAAAATTCACGAACAGCCATAGAGTAATAAAGGAGGAGCCCCATCTTGTTGAAAATGTATGAAATCTTCAATCAAATTCATGTTTCCGCCAATTGGATTTATTTGATTCTCTGTTTCATGAGTGATGAGAGGCTCCACGGTATTTTGTAGCATGTTTAGGTAAGTATCTCCAGTTAAATTTCCTTCGATAAACAGAGGACCAATAATGCTATCACCTAAGATACCTGCCCAGACGTTAATTTTTTGGGGCCGTTGAGTATGCCCCTCGCGAAAAAGATGAGGATTTTTATCGTCCCAATACCGGCAGTTATGTTTGTTCACATTTCCATTTAAAAAGAATGTACAGTCTCTTGTAAAAGTAATGTCCCTCGGATACCTACCACTGTAGCATAGGCAACCAACATCCCAGCCGCCTAGTCCAAGTTGGATTTGCGGGTGTGCGAGGTAGCTATCTAATGCGGTTCATTTTCAGCAGATATTCCCATTTAGCCAAACTAAATACTAGTTAGTAGAATAAAAGTGAATGCCATCGATTTATTAGCTCAAAGGATTTGCGCTGCATATCCTTGGCTTGGTGCAGTAAACATTTTTACATTTCTTACAATTGGTTTGGTGCGTTTTAAATTTGCAAATAGTTTAGCTAGAGACTATTAAGACAAAATAATGGCCTTTCACTTTTTAATTTTTTGAGTAGGTTTTCTTCTAACGAAATAAAGGTGACATTCTTGTCCTTTAATGACATTGAAATTCCAGTGTCATTAATAATTACTTGCGAGTAGGTCTCCTCATGGAATGCGATTAATTGCCCTACAAGTGCACTGTGGAACAATACCTTTTGTAACTAGCATCAGAAATTAAATGATATGCATTTGTGATACTTGGTCGTGGTTGATTTAATATCGAATTTAGTTTAGGAGAGCTTTTACGTTGCATATTTTTGAGTAGGTAGGCATATTATAAGGATATTTAGTCCAGGTTATAGGTATATTTTTTGACAAAAAAATTAGTTACCAGTTAAACCGGCTTTTTCATGCAGGTGACATGATTAGAAATTAGGGAAAAATAATTAAAACAGCTGAATTTTTCCGCGGGTGTCATCCCGGGGTTTGAAAGGAGTGGGAGGTGGTAGTTACAAAAGGAACGGCATTGTCGGGCTTCCAGTGCAGATAATCGCATTCCATTAGGAGGCCCGAGTAATTAATAATGAGACATCAATTTCAATGTCAGTATAAAACGACAAAATCATCACATTTATTTTGTTAGAAGAAAATCTACTCGAAAAAATTAAAAGTAAAAGGTCATTATTTTAGCTAAACTATTTCCAAATTTAAAACGCACCAAACCAATTGAAAGAAATGTAAAAATTTCTATTGTATTAAACCAAGGATAGATTAAAGCAGCGCAGATCTAATAAATGCCATTCATTTTCATTCTACTAACTTATTTTTAGTTTGGCAAAGTGGGAATACCTGCTGAAAACGAACCGCATTAGATACCTACCTTCCTCCCACACCCGCAAATCCAACTTGAACTAGTCGGCTGGGATGTTGGTTGCCTATGCTACAGTGGTAGGTATCCGAGGGACATTACTTTTACAAGAGACAACAAATGTTTTTCACCAGTTCCGGATTATTTTGAATATTCTCGGTCATTATTTCACAAAATTGGATTCTTCGATCGGAGTCGTCTTCGGTTAGTTCCTGTACAATCTGCATCTTATAAGGGTAGAATTTGTGCACCTTAAGAGTTCGTCGTACAGTTTCTCGCGAAGGTCCGGTCATAGTCGCTGCTTTTCGAATAGATGATGTTGGGTTTGCACCAAAATGACCTAAAACTTCAATCTGAGTAGCTTCATCCATTATTCTTGGTCCGTCTCTTTTCTTATTTTC